CTACACCATTATGCTATGGTGTTCCTGGAGGAGTTAATTGTGAGATGATCCCACAATTTCTAAGATGATCGCTGAATTCAAGACTAAGATACTCACCACCCCTATCGGATCTGAGAATCTTGATCTTCTTATTTAGTTGATTCTCTACTTCGTTCTGGAATGTCTTGAACATCTCCAAGGTTTCAAACTTATGTTTAATAAGATAAACATATCCATATCTACTGAAATCATTAGTAAATGTAACAAAGTATTTTTCACCGTGTCTAGTAGCTAATATGAACGGTCCATACAGATCAGTGTGTACAAGATCCAACAAATCTTTGCCCCGCTCACAGTTTCCTGTGAATGGTGCTTTTGTCATCTTCCCCATTAAACAAGATTCGCATTCATCATATGATGTGTGATCAAATGATTCCAAAATCCCATCCACTTGGAGTTTGCGATGCGTTTCTTGTTAATGTAGCCAAGTCGACAATGCCATAGATACGTTTTGTCCAAATTTTCTTTGGATGAAATCGAATCAACATTBAAGATTGAACTATAATTGTGTCTCAAGCTTATGGTGGTTTCATATATTCCATTACAAGGACTAGCCTTGAAATAGAATACCTCATTCTTCAATACAAGAATAGAGCCATTATCAAATTTAAAATCGAAACCATCATTATATAAAGCCCAAAAATAAATAATGTTTTTCGCCATCTCGGCGGAGTAACATACATTTTTCAAAAACACAATAAGACCGGAACCAAAAGTGAGCTCATAACTCCCAATCCATTCAACAACAGCTATCTGCTTGTTTCCCATGATTAGGTCGAGCTCTCCGCGCCTCAGCCGCCTACTTCGTTTTAGTCCCTGTAGATTAGTACAAACATGAGTACCACATCCGGCGTCTAACACAAAAGAGTTTGAAGTAAAGGTATTGTGGAGTTCAATCATAAACATACCTGAAGGACCAACACCCTTGGCCTTTAGCTCTTTCAGCTCCTTCTGGTATTTTGGACAGTTGCGCCTCCAGTGTTCTTTCTCCCCGCAGTGGAAGCATGTGGCATCCTCAGGAGTTTTTGCTTGAGGAGTCACATAATTAGCCTTACCCTTTGGCTTGGGTTTGGAATTGGATGAACCAACCTTCCCTTTACCCTTGCCTTTAGGGGTCTTAGGCTTCTTCTTCTTGACTCCTCCTCCCTTTATAGTAAGCGCCGGGGTAGCAGTCTTGGCTTTCGGCATGGTAGCTTCAGCAGTTTTCAGCATGCCATGAAGCTCCATGATGGTTTTCTCCATATTGTTCATGTGATAATTGAGCACAAAAGACTCAAATGAACTAGACAGTGAGTTTAGGATAATATATGTGGCAAACTCCTGACTTACGGGGAAACCAAGATACGCAAGCCTGTCAATATGTGCTTTCATGTTCAAAACATGAACACTGACACTGCTTCCCGGTGCCATTCTGCAATCCACCAGAGCTCTATGAGTGTTGAACCATTCTGGCCTTGCTTGCTGCTGGAACATGTCCTGCAGCTGTTTGATCATGTTATATGCCCCAAGGTGATCCATATTCTTTTGGAGTTCTAGCACCATAGTGGCTAGTATGAGGCAAGCAACCATGTTCGACTCATTAAGGTGTTTCTCATAATCTTGGACAGTCGCCCTATTAGATCCTGGCGGTGATGCAGGAGGAAGTGGTTCCTTGATGGCCCTTTCCATGTTGTCCATTCTGAGGACTATCCCCAGTTGTCTGGACCAGTCCATGAAGTTCAAGCCCGTGAGCTTTTCCTTCTCAAGGAGACCTTTCAAGCAGAAGTTTGATAAAACAGAATTTGCGTTGTTGTTTGCCATCTATCATTGTAGAAAAAAAGGTTTTAGTGATTTGAGTTAAATAATCTTTGTTAAATTAATTACCCATTTTGTTTGAAACAAAATTAATTTTAACAAGGTTAAGATCCATATTTCACTTTTAGATACGATGGGTATGCCGCGGATCGTAGACTAAAAGCTATTTAGGTAGGTAACTATTTTACCAATTTCAATATTTGAAATTCTTAATTGATGAGTCCAGATTTCATACAAACATGGTATGATCATCATAGATTGTGATGAACATCAAAGTAGAAAGAAGATATTCAAGAAGATGATTAGATTGAGAGGAGAGAGAGAATATTACATCAACAAATCTTGATTTTCAGATTAATGACAAAAGCTTAATTACAATTACAAGGTAAATCCTATTTATACTAGGAAATGTAAAGACTAAGCTATTACAAGGAAACTATACTAAGGAGAAACTTGAATACAACATTAAGCACTAACTTGAACCCAACATTAATACCTTGCGGGATTCGGTGACATCTATTGTGTCATTTGGCATGTTTAATCCTTTCAACGCTAATCCTTTACCGTGACGGGTATGCCGCGGATCACGGGTCCGGATTGTAAATCCTCCATACTAAAAGTACGTGATATCCGGCCCAAGACTCTCGGGTATCGCGAACATCAAACACTATTCCTAGCGTCCCTCCGATGTGTTAGCTATAGAACTACCCACACTGGAAGACGGTTAGTTCAAGTGTGTGATCTAGTCATGGATAGCGTTTGATTTACCTTTTATTAAAAAATGGGTTTTTGTTTTTATAAGTTGAATCATTTAACTAAAACTTTGTGGTTCTTTAACTATTTTAAATCATTTTTCTAGCAAGCGGGGCCTAGACAAAATATATACAAATAATAAAGCAACCACAACATACAAATAACAGTAACAATGCCTCAAGTCCTATGCGTTTTTCCGGTGAGCCAACACACGAAAAAACATGGTCAGTCTAAGGGACATAACCAAGCGTCATGAATCGGCTCCCACTAAACACGCCATCACCAAGTGATACCCGGATGGTTCGCCGTTTGGACGTCAATCTCCTTGACTCCATTTGGTTGTGTTGATCTTCCATTACAAAAAAAAAATGGAAAAACTATTCTATTACTATGCTATTWTACAAATACATAATGAATAGAAACGACTCATAGGTCGCAAATACATTACAACGGATGAATGAAATGACATGCAAGTCGTGCAAATTATTACATCTTTTAAATGAATCAAATAATAACAACCAAACATCACACATAGGTCTAGAGAGGCAAATGTTACCGGATCCATACACATACAAAGAATAGAATGGAGTGCCAAATCCATGCAAGGGAATATTTTGATAAAGATTGATTAAACATACAATTTTGGCACTAAAATCAATCTTAGTTTATATGTTACAATGTATCAATAATAAAATCGACTACATAAACATATAAACACACTTTTATGTTTATGCATGTATGGTTTTCATGCCAAAAACCATCCAAGCAACAACATGCAAGTGTATCAAAATATTTGGAAAACTACAAAAAAACATATTTCATTCAAAAAGAAATAATAAAAATTTTCTTCTAAAGTACAACAAGTAAGTTTTATTTCATTAAGAAAAGAAAACACTAGTTTTGTAAAAATGGTTTTCACTAGACTTTAATTTCCTTTTATATCCCTCTTTTTTACACAAAACAAAGAGCCAATTTTTTCAAGTTCTTGGTCTATTTACTACATAGAAATAGCCCCAAAACTTCTTAAAAAACAGCCAAAAACAGCCCCTAAAAGGTAGCACAAAAGAGCCAACATTTTACAATCAAAACCGAGTTTTAAACTTGATTTTTTAGGCTTAAATTATAGCTCAAAGACTGCTGTCCTGGCAGCTTCGAAACAGCCTTATAGGCTGTCCAAAACAGCCCCAAAACATGTTAAAATAAGGTCTAAAACAACCCCAAAAATCTCCCTTTTATTGGATTAAAATAGAGCTCAAAATGGGTGTTTTTCGGACTTCAAAACAAAGTTTAAGAAGGTTAAAAGATGAACCTTTTAAATCAAGATTTTTAAACCTTTAAAAGATTAAAACTTTGAGGTTTTGAAATCTAAACTAAAGAGGGAAAGGAAACTTAAAATTAGAAGTGAAAAACTAGAAATGGTTCTACATGCAACATGCACACCCTTTCCCGAAAGTGTGCACAAATACATGATCTAACAAGAAAAGGATCCAATGTACAAGAGATTAAGCAACATAACAAGAGATAGAGAAAGAATTTCGACCTTCACTTGCAAGGAGAACCCAAAAGGAGAGTTCCTCTATGTGTTCACACCCAAAKCTCCAAGTATAGGTGCAAAAGAGTCCYCTATCTTCTTMAAGTTTGGCTCAAGAACACCAAGAACACCAAGAACACCAAGAACACACRCTAGTGTGTGTGTAGAGAGAAAAAAAGAACTTTTCTTGTGTATATGTGTATCATACGGCCAAACCATAAAGAAGAGAAGAAAAAGAGAGCCACTCAAGTGGCACAAGTCCCCATGCCATGCATACTTGAGTGCTTTCTCAAAGTTTCAAATCAACCTCTCTAACTTTGCTAAATTACAAGCTAAACCCTTCAATTTACAAAGTATTTTAAGGATGACATATCTTTTATAAGTTTCTAATTTAAACCATCAAACATGATGTTTAACAAATTTAGTCCCTTACGTTTTATTCTTGCACCTTATTTGGACTTCGCGTGCGACCCAATAGGAGCATGCAATGTGAATTATGTTGTGACAATGGGCATATCTCCAACACGTATCTCATCCAGAGCAAATGCAGAAGGTTATGGCTCTGCACGGGCCATGATGAGTTTTAGCTCTTCCAAGGAGCACAACAAAGAGGTACCAACGGATTGAAACTCTTTCGTTGTGACGTAGGTTGTTTGTGTAACCTCTGGCTCAACACATGGGCCAGATTCAGTCCTTGTTCCAAGGACACTTTCTTGCTCGACTTGTTTAATGTTGGCTGGGGAAGGATTTCCAGCAGATCCTCGTGGTTCTCCTTGAGGAGAATTCACTACTGCTGTTCTATCACGAGGTGTACCCAATGTAGGTTAAGAGCTAGCCAGAGGACTCTCCATGAGTGGACAAGAAGGTTGGTCGAGAACCTCCATGTCTTGTGCACCTAATCCTTGCTCTGAACAAGGTGGGGAAGCTCTATGTGTAGAGGAAACAAATTCCTCTGTGGAAAGGGTTTGATTGCTATTGTTCATGGCATGCTTAGAGCTACCTTAATGGGTGGCATGACCGATTTTCAGTTGGCCATAACTCTGAACAGAGATAGGGTATATTTGATGCATCCGGAGATCAAACTTGGAGAATTGGCAAACTTTCCTACAGGAACTGTAGTGTGTGATCCTCCGGGATACATATGCAAGAATCTAAATGAGAAGTTCTTATTCAGGATGTATGATATAGCGAAGTACAACTCTGGTACCTTGAAACAGATTTACATATCATTAGAAAAGAGACTGTTGAGGAAGCCGAGAATAACTCCACGAGAAGAATGGCCAAAATTAAAAGAACTCATAAATTGGATAAGAATGCAGATTGACTCTCAGCTTGAGTACAGAAGAACAATAATTGAGAAGTTCATTCCAATCCTTATTGACAGGAAATTCAAACTCTGAAAAGAAGAGGAAGATTAAGTACACACCTGCAAAGAATAAAATAGTGACAAATTTAGTTTTGTAAAGCACAAGGTTTATTTTAGAAACTTAGCTTAGGATTCATCAATTATGTAAATAGTTTCAATTTTGGTAACAACATTTCATTCATTAATTTATTAAGGAAATGTAAACAGTTTGGTCTGCGTTGTTCACTTTCTAATAACAGTGTGATACCTTCATTACTAATAGGCTCTATTCTTACCGTGTTTTATGTTTTTTTTCATATCCTCTCTGTACATAAATGTACTACACATCTTAATTTGAGAAAGTTAAATCATCTGACAGAATTACGTAACAAATATGGATGCTTGTGAAAAATAAGACGGTGCTTGAGAACGAGCTGCCCAACTTATAGTTTTGAAGGTAGTTTGGAAATTAAATTTAGAGAATGACTTCAGTATTCAAGTATGGATTTTTAATTTTAGACTTCAAGGAAGTCTGGACATGAAATATAAAGGATGACTTCAACATGCAAGTACAGATCCTTAATTTCAGACATGGAGGTTTGGCGGTTCCTTATGAATTTTCTAGTTCGTTCTGACGAAGTGGTGTATTTTTTTCCAGATTTTGGAATAAGGTTCGAATGGGAAACATTTTCCAGAGTTAGTGGAATAAACTCTGAAGAATGCCTCTCCAGACTTCGAAGCTGGTAGTTTTCATAAACGTCACTATGTGAAATCCATTCCCAGATTTCCTTGATGTTGACAGTTCCAGACTTAGCAGTGTGACAATAAGCAACCAAGACTAATTCTGTGACATTTTGAATAAGAGTTCGAAGTTCAGGTTTCTAAACCTATAAGAACTCAGCTGCATTCTCAGCTTAATTTATGTCTTTTTCCATATTCCCCTACTTACATAAATGTATTAAACATCTTAATTTGTGGGATTTAAATCATCAGAACCTCTACACAAAATAAAAGTTCCATACTTGAAAATTTTCACTCTCCTAGAAAAGAAGACAAACTGTAACCGGAATGAATACACAAGGATAATCAAAGCCAAAGGTGAAAGATAACATCTGTATTACATTTATTATATAATATTTTTACAGGACAATGAAAGGAAACTACAAGACTTAAAAGTGAAAATAAAAAACTAAGAATAAACATAATTTATAAATATAAAGCTTTTTACACATGTTGGAGCATCATGAACCTCCTAAGAAGTTCACGGAACTCCAACACATGATCGATGCATCTAACCAAATTGCGAGACCACTCCTTGCCAGCCGTGGTATTGTTGTTGTTTCTGAGTAAATTATACTTGATGGAGTGCAACGTAGA